TAGTAATCACAGACTAAAAGATAATGATTACATGAATTCAGCATTCTTTAATTGGTGATGTATTGAGCAGGTCAAATTCTACTGCTGCTTCATGGACGGTGCATACTTCACTTAGATTAGAGAGAATAGAGGAACCAAGGCAAGGGACCACAAAATCAGGCACCATTAATCAAAAGGTACTTCATACTCAAATTTCATTAAAGGTCAAAATGAGTATTGAGTGAAGAACAAGAAGCTCTAAATCTATCAGTTGACAGTAGATATTGTCATGTATATACTTTTCAGTTGACAGTTATCATGTTCATAGTCAATATAGATTTTTTTTTTTACCTTAGACTTCTTTTTACAGGCTTCAAGCCAAAAGAAGGGCAATGGTCAAGTAAAACAAATTGACAGCAAGAAATCACAACCTGTTTCGAACCCTAAGGTTTTTTTTTCTGCATCTTTTTGTATGCCATCTAATATTAGTAATGCAGTATGTGTTAATATTTAAAGTTGTTATTTCATTAGGGAAAAAAATAGTTCTAAGTGTTACTTTATGTAATCCTAATTAATAGCTTACGATAAAAATATAAAACAGGGCATGGATATTGGTAACCCTGAAAAGAGTTTGCCATTTAAAGCAACACCATTACCAAGTTTTTATCACAAGAGATTGGTTACTCCAAAATTGGATTCAATAGAGGTAACTATTGAATTTTTTTTCCCTTTTAAAAATCTTGTCTTGTACGAACACTCTGAATTCATTTACAAAATTTATGTCCTACCTGATGAAAAGCGAGTTGAACAAGACATGGAAATTACGAAGACTAGAAAGGATTCATCATTTAAAGCAGCACCTCTACCCGGATTTTATCATAAAACATCCAGATCTCTGAAGGCAAATTCATTAGAGGTAAGTGGGAAAATGACTTGAGACACTGTCTCTTGAAAAAATCTTACAAAATTCTAAAAATGCAGAAAATAGAGGAAAAGCAGGCAAATATTGCTCAAACAAGTTCGACATTTAAGGCAACACCATTGCCAAGGTTCTACCACAAGACATCTTCCCCACAAAAACATGAACTGAAAAAGGTTTGCAATAACATCATGGTTTCATTTCATGCTACAAAAACTGGTTTTCTAAAAAGACTTCCCAAATGAGAAATACCATCATTTTACAAAATAGTCCAAAACATGAAAATGTAAACATATGAATCTTGACATTTTAGCTTAACCATGTTTTGAAACATTACAAAATGATTTTGTAGACTTAATAAAAGATGTATATGATTATTGTTAAGTCTATAAACCAAGAAAACAATATTTTCACAAATACAATAGAAAGTAAAACGTATGAGTATGTATATGAAAATATATTTGTTTCATATCTATGAAATTAAACCAAAACAACTTATCCACATAGAAAACAAGCATGTATACACATTTTTTGGAATTTATTTGTAAAAACTTTGTTTGTGGATAAAACTAAAAACCAAGATGTATATGTATATAACTATATATATATATATACTAAGAAACTAATAAATATGTGTGTGAATATAATATTGAGCTTAGAGAATATAACACACATAATATAAACCTATACTAAATATACCCAAGCTTGATCTTGATCTTCATTGAAGCTCAACTTGGTACACATGCGGATGAAGCTTGAACTTGATCTTTAACTTTGAATTTGCAAGGCTTCACCGACATTCCGCCAACCTCCTTTGGATATGATCGTTGAAGCGCAATTCCATCCATCCTCCAACTATGTTGTTTGTCTACAACAAATACGAAAACACAAATACTAGACAAACAACATTAGTGATAAATTGTTTGTTAAACATCATCAAAACAAGAAGGCCAACATTTTGTAGGCTAACTTTGAAGCTCTGCATCTGTGTGCGCATGTGCACACACACATGTATAACTTATGCATGGGTGTGTATTTGATATTTATTCTTGATTAAGCAACGCAAGATGTTACATATAATCAGGTGTAGGTATATTTATGTGCATACTATTATTGATTGTTTTACTAACTGAACACGTCAACAGAACGGAACAAGCAAATAATAAATCAAGCAATATGAAGGAAGATTTACCAGGTTATGAAAAAGATATCCAGGTCGAAGATACATCGTTGATTGCTGAGAACAAGAAACAAAACCTGAAATCAGTACAGAAAAGAGTAACACCTATTCCAAAGAAAAGTTGTAAGAGGAAGTGCACTGTTCCTCAACCTTTCTCAATATCCACCGAGAAAAGAATCTCAAAGATGATTAGTAGTCTGCAGAGGTCCACTCCAAGCTTATCAAGATCTCTTAGCTTCAAGTAAATCCCTTTGATAACTCTTTTTTTGCATTGCACTAGAATTAGTTTACTAAATTTAACCAATCTACGTGAGGCATGTCAGTAGTTAGTAATCACAGACTAAAAGACAATGATTACATGAATTCAGCATTCTTTAATTGGTGATGTATTGAGCAGGTCAAATTCTACTGCTGCTTCATGGACGGTGCATACTTCACTTAGATTAGAGAGAATAGAGGAACCAAGGCAAGGGACCACAAAATCAGGCACCATTAATCAAAAGGTACTTCATACTCAAATTTCATTAAAGGTCAAAATGAGTATTGAGTGAAGAACAAGAAGCTCTAAATCTATCAGTTGACAGTAGATATTGTCATGTATATACTTTTCAGTTGACAGTTATCATGTTCATAGTCAATATAGATTTTTTTTTTACCTTGGACTTCTTATTACAGGCTTCAAGCCAAAAGAAGGGCAATGGTCAAGTAAAACAAATTGACAGCAAGAAATCACAACCTTTACAGGCTTCAAGCCAAAAGAAGGGCAATGGTCAAGTAAAACAAATTGACAGCAAGAAATCACAACCTGTTTCGAACCCTAAGGTTTTTTTTTCTGCATCTTTTTGTATGCCATCTAATATTAGGCATGCAGTATGTGTTAATATTTAAAGTTGTTATTTCATTAGGGAAAAAAATAGTTCTAAGTGTTACTTTATGTAATCCTAATTAATAGCTTACGATAAAAATATAAAACAGGGCATGGATATTGGTAACCCTGAAAAGAGTTTGCCATTTAAAGCAACACCATTACCAAGTTTTTATCACAAGAGATTGGTTACTCCAAAATTGGATTCAATAGAGGTAACTATTGAATTTTTTCCCCGTTTAAAAATCTTGCCTTGTACGAACACTCTGCATTCATTTACAAAATTTATGTTCTACCTGATGAAAAGCGAGTTGAACAAGACATGGAAATTACGAAGACTAGAAAGGATTCATCATTTAAAGCAGCACCTCTACCCGGATTTTATCATAAAACATCCAGATCTCTGAAGGCAAATTCATCAGAGGTAAGTGGGAAAATGACTTGAGACACTGTCTCTTGAAAAAATCTTACAAAATTCTAAAAATGCAGAAAATAGAGGAAAAGCAGGCAAATATTGCTCAAACAAGTTCGACATTTAAGGCAACACCATTGCCAAGGTTCTACCACAAGACATCTTCCCCACAAAAACATGAACTGAAAAAGGTTTGCAATAACATCATGGTTTTATTTTAATTTATCATTTAAGTACATACTTACTTTTCTTCCATAAATCTTGCAGATTTCTTTATCGCGATCGAAATCTCCAAGTGACGGATTCACAAGCAAGCCTGTGGAATCAGCAAATAATGCTGCTTCGAGTCAAGTTAATGATAGTGTCAAGGAGACAATTAAGAGTTCGCTAAAAGGGCAGTGGAAGGCACCAGATCAAAAATCCAAAATTTCAAAAAATATCAGGCCCTCATGTATTGACGAAATAGAGAAAAGGGTTGTGTCTTCTATTGAGAAAAGAAGTCATTAGCACAACTTTGTATAATTTTTAATGTAGAAGGTCGTTAACATATAATGAAGTTTCCAATCTTGCTTTATGAAATATTATTCCTTTTATGTTAAATTGAAAAAGGTTCATGAACTATTGGACTTGCACCTCTAAACTAATCCTTCAAACATAACCGCGAATGAGATTCAACAATTTGGACTAATTTATGAAAAACTCTTAACTTTGCTTAACTTGATTTGTTGAAGCAAGTCGATCAATCGATAATCTTAATTTTTTAGAGAATAACCACACTCTTAACAATCAATTAGCTAGTCGACGGAATGACTAGGATATTGGTTGACTGATGAATCAAACGTCTCGTTTAGCATATTTATGAATATTTAGGGGGTGTTTGGTTCAACAATTTTATAGAAAAGTTTTCTCAAAAGGACTGACAATGACATTTCTCTAATTAAAAATTTTCTGTAGATTTTCGTAAACTGTGTTTGGTTTAAAAAAATTTACAGAAATATTTTCTGTAAAATACAGAAAAGTACCAAAATTTACAGAAATCAATTTCCTCTTAAAATGGGCGGAAATCACCCAGAAATCTGATACTCTATTGACATTTTTCTATAAAGTTGACACTTTCTATAAATTTAGGGGATGTTTGGTTCAATTTCTATAAATCATATGAAATCTTGCTATTTTCTATAAAGTTATGGGTCATATTCTTGTTTTGAACCAAAAAAGCAAAGTACAAAAAATAAGAAAATTGGTACTTTTTGACTTCTTAGAACTTTTCCTATAATTTTTTTAAAAATACAAGAAAATCATATTTTAGGTGAAAAATATTTCCTATAATTTGTAAAAATTGAACCAAACACCCTTAGCAAACCAATAAATGAAAGTGATGAATCAACTTTTTTGCAAAATTAACGGGCAGACCCCTTATTATTAACGTGGTGATTCATCTCGTAGAAGGCCCAAATATCAAAAGCTTTGAAACTAACTCAGCAACAAATGCCATAGTTTACAGGGGCCACACCGCAAAAGGAACAGTTGTCAAATTTAGCGGCCTCGCTCTCGCTCTCGCTCTCCCACGGCCATTGCTGTTTGAGTTCGTCGGCGACTGCGATATTATTCGATAAAATGAGGAGCTCTCTCTTCAAACGCCTCTCATCAAGATCGATTCCTTTGGCGAGCAATTCATCGATTCCCTGCCGCTCCTCTTGCTCTAGGCACGTGAGTTCTCCTCCTTTGGTTCTTCTTTAATCTAGGGTTTCTTTCCTCGTTCTGGTCGATTCAGCTACATATCTTTCGAGATTTCGATTATTCTTACACAATTTGATATTTGAAACCCTAATTGTTCCTCCAAGAGTGTCTGTGACTGTGTGTATCTTGATTAAGCGCTGACTATGCTCTAATATCTCATTTGAATATGTTACCATCAGTTGGAACACAGGGGCTCGTTGTGCATCTTGGCTTAATTTGGGGCTAAGCTGGGATGACCCATAGTAAATTATTGTCAGCCTGATTCTTCACTCATATAACACAAGTTTCTAATTAATGATAGGCAAATTGTAAAATAAGCGAGCTTTGAGTTATATACACGTGCACTGATTTCAACTCTCATTTTCCAGATTGCGATAAATTAGCTACTGATGTTTCCCTTTTGATATGTTGCCTCCTCTTCTTCGACGTTACGGTTTGATTCAAATCGTCTTTTTTTCATTCTTGTACGTGGATTGTGGAATTGCTGATGATAATTTCAGGCTATATGACCTTGTTTTTCCTTATATATTATCCCTAAGCTCATTATATTTAGGCCAAAAGGGGAGAAACTAAGCTCGTAGCATGCGACTTTTATATATTATCCCTAAGCTCATTATATTTAGGCCAAAAGGGGAGAAACTAAGCTCGTAGCATGCGACTTTTGTCAGAACGCTGCATTAGAAGGGTATTTAGGCCAAAAGGGGAGAAACTAAGCTCGTAGCATGCGACTTTTGTCAGAACGCTGCATTAGAAGGATATCTAATAGGTGTGGGCATATGCTTCTAACAATATATTGTAACAGTTACATATAGAAATAGTTATATGACCGACTATTTGTAAAAGCCCAGCAAAATTAGGCATTAAATTAAGTTGCATGTCTTCTAACACGTGCACAACTCGTTTTATGTTAGTATCATTTAGCTCAGTAATATTTATTAGCTGTTATTTAGTTAACTTTTTCAAATTGTTATAAATTCTATTGTCATACCTTATAGTTTCTTTTTATTTTCTTTTTTTTAACTTTCTGAGACATTCAGTACACAGTTTCAGCGACAGAAGCTGCAGAGGAAGCAGGATCTGTAACCTTACCTAGGTATGAGATTTCTCTTTTTCTGTCATATTTGATTTTTGTATTTGTCTTTTTGCCACGAAGAGATCAAAGTGTTTGGTCACTAACTCGCTTCCATAAGGCAGTCATTGTTGTGCGCAGCGGAAATTTCGGTAGCACTTCGACAGCACAACAAGAGAGATTAGATCGATAAGAATTCTCGTCTCACCAAGGAAACAAGAATCTGAAACGGATATCTCAACAAAGTGAGATATCGACTCTTCCTCTCATCAGTTCTAGGACTGACCTGTCGAGGGATCCTACAAGCTATTACAAATCACGACAAGAACACAACTTTTACGTGGTTCGACAAATAGCTTACGTCCACGGGGCAAGGAGGGGGAGATCTACTATTAGAGGGAGAGATACAACTAGGATTTACAATCTCACAATCTAAACCCTCTCAAACAAACTCTCAAATCCCTCTTACAAATATTCTCTCAAAGGGATGCACAAAACAAAGAACTACTACAAAAAAGGACTTTGCTTCTTCTTCTCTCAGTCAGCCGCCAAAATCCCTGTAGCTTTTGTTCTCTGTGTCTGCAGCAGCCGCCAAAAGAAACCCCTGCTATTTGCTTTTCTGCTGCCACTCGTGTTTTTCTCCTTCAGCCGCAAAGCACACCCCAGCACCTTGCACTCCTTCGCTCCTTGCACAAAAAATCAGCCGCTCTTTTTTTTTTCACCATGTAGAAAGGCTGTTTTCACATCCATCTGGACTAAATCCAAATTCAGCTGTGCCACCAATGCCAATAAAATACGAATCGACGAATGCTTCACAACAGGTGAAAAAACCTCGTTGTAATCAACGCCCTCTAGCTGTGCATATCCCTTGGCAACCAATCTGGCTTTGAATCTAATTTCCCCAATAGAAGATCCCTCTTTCTTTGCATACACCCACTTGCATCCAATAGCCTTCTTACCCTTCGGTAGCTTTGCAAGTTCCCAAGTGTAGTTCTTATGAAGAGACTGCATCTCCTCCTCCATGGCTTCCCTCCACCTAATCGAATCAGAGCTTGACTCTGCTTCCTTGAATGTAGAAGGAATCAAATCATCAACGACTTCTGCTGATAAAGCATATGCAACCATGATATCGTTATATCTAGCTGGCCGACGAATATTTTTTCTTGGTCTATTAGCTGCAATGGACTCCTGAACATGACCATGTTCCTGAGTCCCAACATTCACTGTATCCTCTAAATGCCCGGCTGTCATCTCATCTCCTCCCAGTGTCACCTCTGTAGGAGCCTCAATGGATACAATACTATCTGGAATGGGTGGAGTCACATCATCCTCCATCTGCTGCGATATCCCAACTGTCTGGTCTTCCTCCACCTTCTGAGGAACTTGAGGCTTTATCATGTACGCCTCGTTAAATGTGACATCCCTGTTAATAACTATCTTCTTGTCCTGTGGATCCCATAACTTGAAGTCTTTAACTCCATCTCTAAATCCCACAAAGACTGCTTTCCTCTCCCTCGGATTTAATTTACCATCATTGACATGGTAATAAGCCGGACACCCAAATATCCGAAGCGACTCATAGTCACTAGCTACCAAACCAGACCAACGTTCCAATGGAGTCTTCCCCTGTATCGCAGTGCACGGCAACCTATTCACGAGATGGCTCGCATAAACCAACGCTTTGGCCCAAAAGGATCTTGACAATCCACTTTGCGTCATCATACATCGCACCTTCTCCAGTAAGGTACGATTCAATCTCTCAGCCACCCCGTTCTGTTGCGGTGTCTCACGTACTGTGAAGTGTCGTCTAATGCCGTGATCCCGGCAAAACTGCAGAAACGGATCATTTTTATACTCTCCACCGTTATCTGAACGTAGAGTCTTCACCTTTCTACCTATCTGCAGCTCCATTTTTTTTTTCACTCCATAAAAATATCCAGGACCTGATGTTTATGTTTCATCGGGTGTATCCAATTCCTCCTGGAATAGTCATCAATGAAAGTGATAAAATAGTTGGCCCCACCAAGTGATGTGTGCTTGGAAGGGCCCCAAACGTCTGTGTGAATGTAGTCCAAAATACCTTGGGTATTGTGAATAGCGGTGCCGAATTTCATTCTTGTCTTCTTCCCAAGTATGCAATGTTCACACAGCTCCATCTTGCAGGTCTTCGCACCCTTCAATAGCCCCTGCTTTGCCAATATCTGTAGGGACTTATCACCAGTGTGTCCCAATCTCATGTGTCATAAACTGGTAGTATCTTCCTCTGTGGTAATCGAAGCTGCCAGACCCCCTGTTACTGTCTTGTCCTTCAAGTAGTAAATGTTATTTTCCCTGACACCTCGCATCACCACCATGGACCCCTTTGTGACCTTCAGAGTCGCATTCTCCAAGATCACCTTATAACCACCTACCTCCAAAGTTCCAAGCGAAATGATATTCTTCGTCAATTGAGGAACGAATCTTACTTCCTTCAGCTCCCGAGTCACCCCGTCACACATCCGGATCTGTACTGTACCAATACCACCAATAGGGCATACGTGATCATTACCCATGAGCACGACATCCCCCCTTTCTAACTCTTCAAAGCTGGAGAACTAATCCCTCCTAGGGCAAATATGGTATGTAGCACCAGAACCCATCATCCACTCTGTAGAGTCAGCGTAACAAACTGACGGTAGTGCAGAGCAGGAATAGCCTGAAGAATCTGTATCTGAATTGTCGTCACTAGCCTTGACAACATTCACTTCCGAAGCTTGTACAGCTTTCCCTTTATTCTTCCCGGCTTTATCTTTCAACTTTGGGCAGTCGTTCTTCCAATGTCCTTCTTCTTTGCAAAAACGACATTGATTCCTACCAATATTTCTATGGCCACCTCTTGACTTCGATCTTGAGCGATCACCTGGACGACGGTTTGGAGCACGGCCTCGAACTGCTAATGCATCTCCCGATGCCTTCTCGGAGGGTTCGTCATCACTCTTCCTCAACTCATAATTCATCAAAGCTGAGGTCACCTCCTTGTAGCTAAACGTAGTTCTTTCATTTATCATAGTGAGAACAAACGTTCTAAAATCATCTTCCGGCAACGAACACAATAGTAGCATCGCCTTGTCTCCATCCTCAACCATGATATCTACATTGGCCATATCTGAAATTAGCTTCGTGAAGTTGTTAACATGCTCCCGAATGGAAACTCCCTTCTTCATCTTGAATTGATAAAATCTCTTCTTCAAGTGAAGCCGATTCTCAATACTCTTCGTCAGATACTTCTCATTGAATGTTTCTCACATTCTCTTCGTCGACGTCTCGTTCATTACGTCATAAATGAGATCCGGCGTCAAGCATGACCGAATAACTCCACAAGCCCTACTATTCATTTTCTTCCAAACATTGTCCTCCATATCAGCGGGTTTCTCTTGTAACTCAAGAGTCTCCTCCAAATTTTGTGCATCCAAGGCGTCCATCACCTGACACCTCCACAAACCGAAATTAATCTTGCCGTCGAACTTCGGAACATCAATCTTCGTGTTATTGATGCTCAGACTCTGTATCGCCTTCACAGTTTCAGTGTCAGAAGCTGCAGAGGAAGCAGGATCTGTAACCTTACCTAGGTATGAGATTTCTCTTTTTCTGTCATATTTGATTTTTGTATTTGTCTTTGTGCCACGAAGAGATCAAAGTGTTTGGTCACTAACTCGCTTCCATAAGGCAGTCATACATGTGATCAACTTGATTTGAGAAGTGTTCATTTTGTGATCTCCTGACTCAGATATATAGGGGGAAGTCTGAATTTGATGCTTGTTACATAAGCAATACATTACCCACCCAATAAATTATACATGCATATGCATACATATCCAAAGCAGCCAACTCAATAAATAACCAAAATGACATCATCTTCAAATGAAGTTGTAAAAATATGTAAATTTTTTATACAGTCTGATGTTGTACTGTGTTCTATTCTTCTTTTGACTTATCTAGTCAGCAAATAGGCGCCGTGTTTAATTCAAATCCTCGGTACAACTTGGTTGCCTTTGTGCATATTTTCTTTACTCTTCTCATGCTCCTAGGTTGACACTTTTGGTAAATCAAGTTGAATCCATAGCCCAACAATCCTCAGGTTTTTAGCTTTTGAAGTTTAAAGGTCATATGATCTCAGTGGTTGAGATATTAACCATATACTACTAGTAGCCTATTTATTGAATGCTAGCCTCTTAAATGAAGGAACATTTTCTCGCAAGCCCGTAAACACAACCATCCTCATCCTTCAAGCCTGTTCCAAGTAATCAGAGGACTTTAAGCAGCTATCGAAAATAACGGTATGTCAGATGGTGCAGAAACTTTCCTTTATGTCTGAAACTTTTCAATTAACTTAAGAATGCAGATACATGATTGCTTATTTTGTTCCACGACATTGAGAAAAGAGCTGCAGGTGCTTGAACTCGAGATGTGACTAGTGTTTGGGACAGTATTTCTCCAACTTAAATTATCATGTGCTAGCCTAAGTAGCCTTAAGTTAGATGTCTTGCAGTGATCACAACAGTGGGTGATATGCTTATAGTTAAATGAGAATATTTGATTGTCTGCATATGTGCTTATTTCTAGTTCATGATATGTTATTGTTTTCTTTTGTTCATGGTACAGGGAGGGCCCAGAATTTTCTTTTGCACTGAACTGGGCTCTTGCTGGAAGAGGTGTAATAGTAAAGGATAAGGTACTTCATAACTTGGATTCCTCCGAGCTTCAAAAGAATGGTGCAACTAGATTAGGTTGTATTTAAGTTCAGGTTCATTCTCTGTGTCACTCTTTTAGTTCTGAATGTGCTTCATATATCAATGCATAAACCTGTTGTTTGAGATTCTTGTAGAAAGCTTGTCTGGTATTCCACTTCACGTGAGAGGAAATGCTGTGGAGGGAGCTTCTAAAATTTCAAGGGCACAATTTGCTGAACTTTTAAAACAGGTATATTATACTCCAGAAAGCCCAATATGGCCATTTTGATTGTGTTCACCAGCATTCTTTGATATGTTACCTGAAAGTAAACTCAAGTGAGTTTTTTCCAAGTACTATTGGCTCAATGGTTGACATTTATCCATGCATCTAGATCTTGGTGCTGTTTGTAATTAAGGGATATGCTTACCCAACACATTAATTATTCCTCAATATGGAAGTTGTTTAATCTGTTTGGTCTAATTATGTCAATTCATTTGAAATGAGTGCAACACAGCAAAAAATTGATTTTATCATGCATTACTCAGTAACTTATGGATTCTGAAAATGCATTGTGAAACAATTCCATAGGTTCAGTTGCACTTTGATAACTAAAAGTACATGCTTATATGCTCTAAGTAAATTGAGAAATGTTAAAAGCATGATATATGTATGGGGATATTATCCGGCTAATATTGATTACCTTTATTACATGAATTGCTACGTCAATTCTTAAAAAAAAACAAAATTATTTTACTTTTTTTGTTAGTTCATACAGTAATCTTTGGCCAATCGCTAAATGTATTTCCTGTACGGATTTTGTACTATTAGAAAATATACTGTTTATTTGAAATTTTGTCATGAACTGCACGTTTTATTATTACATTATATTTTACATCAATTGATTCACACCTGAATATTGGACGGTGTATTATGTTTTTTCTTTAGTGTTATACCTTAGACCTCATAACTAAGTTGTTTGATTTGTTCTTTTCTGCTTCACCTGTCATGAGCGTACACAGAGTAGTCACAACGAAGGTGAGGTTACCTAATCAAGAAAATTTCATAAAAGTGTTGAGCCGTTATGTTTTCTATTTGATCCATACTTAGATTAGCAATTTGTTTATCATAAGATGTGGTGCAGTCCAATGTTGTTTCATAACGTACATGTGCATATGGCCTGTCTATCCCTTGACGACTCCGTGGTCTCCAAGTCAGCATGTAATCTTAAAATGCTGTGTTAAGGCCTGCTTGCACCATTGGTACAATTCTGTTGTGTGTGTGTGTGCGCGCGCGTGCGTGCGGTTGTGTGTGTATGTGTGTGTGTGTTTGTGTGCACATTTGGTTGTTTTATGTGTGTTGTGTTTGTGTGCTTGTGCGTGCGTGCATGTGTGAGCATGTGAACATCTATGTGTGCATGTGAACATTTGTGTGGGTGCGTGGGTGAAGAAGAAAATCCGTGATTGAAAGTTGGAGGATGATGTGCCTGGTTTATGGTTTGAGCATTTGCCAAGGAGCCCAACTAATGCATTCATCAGGATAATTGATGGAATAATAAGGACTAAAAATAAGCCAAACTGGTTGGATGCAATAAAAAAAAGTATCCTATGTGGTTCATTTAACTAAATTAGTTGTCCTTAATAGTACCTAACAAGGATTAATTTAGCTGATCCCTAAAATTTCCGATAAAGGCTTTCTTATTCATCATGTTCTTCTTATTGCTCTATCGTAAATATAAGACAATGAAAAAAATTATATCTGAAATCTGAAATAATGGTATTAGCATTACAAGTGGGCTATGTGATTTAGTTCAGTGCTCTTCTAAATTCTCTGATAAATCTCAGATAATTGAAATACATACCACAATCTAAACAACCAACTCGTCTAGTTCCCAGATTTACATTCAAGCGTGTAACTAATAGTTCATATTTCTTGGTTCCATCAGCAATTGCATACGATAATAAATTTTACTACCAACCAACTTTGCCTGCTACGTTTTCTTAGCATCTCCTTTTACTATCTAATTTTGGCTGCCAGTTCGCACCTAGTATAAAATGATTGATTGTGTTAAAATATCTTGCTCCTTTTCAATTTGAAGTTGCATTTCTTGTCAACCCATTTTGTGGAAAATTTTGGATTATGACAATGCCATTGTAAATTCAGATTGAGCTATTGCCATCAGAAAATAATTTTTGTTATGTATTTTTTAACTTTTGCTGTAGGTTACCTCTCATATTTCTTCGGTATCTAATGTATTTGTTCAAGATGGGGCTGTTGCTTCTGCTGGAAAATGTGATGCAAAGGTTCGTGTCATAAGTGATAGTCCCTCTGCAATACTGTCACTTTCCCATATCCTCTGGGAAACACCTAGCAGAGCAGTTTCCCATGACTCTTGCCCCTTAACAGTCTATGTTGCTAGCAATATCAGGTACCTTGTTATATTCACATCAGTTATAAATTATAGTTAATATGTTAGCAGGATTCTCCACACCAGTTTCTATTCCCTAGCTGGAGATCTGATTCATACTATTATATCCCATCAAGCATTTAGTAATTTGCATCATGCCAAAAATTGTTTGTATAAAACAAGGTACATCCCTTTTATCATATTGGTATTTTTTCTAGCTCTGGCGACGTTTTGTTTTTTTTAATAGCCCAATGTGAAATTAGACCACAACTTTGCCGTCAGAAAAAGAAGGCATGAAACCTCTTTCCTCCTAGCAGTTTTTCGCCTTCCAAGCTTTCTCTTCACCGTATTTGGAGGTAATACTATGCCCTCCCCTTCTTTGTCCCAGAATTTACTTTTTTGTTGTGGACTCTCAACTGGGAGTGGAAAACAGGTCGGGCCGGGTCATTTATGACCCAACCCATATAAGTTTAACCCAAACCCGACCTGTTTAATAGACGGGTCCGATGACCCGATCCATTTATTAAATGGATTAGCCAACCCGATCCGAGTGACCCGAATAAGTATTAAACTGTTAATTTGCAAGCTTCTAAGAACATGCTCGATGATTTTATGTCTGATATGTACTAGATGAAAACTAAAATATCAAAACTTTGGCAACAACATTTAACTGATCAACCAAGCAAGCATAAAGTTGAATATGATATTATGATACATATGGCAGCAAGACTTTCATCCAGGATAATAACTAAGCTTATATTTAGCCTATAAACTGGGGTTCAGCTCGCAGTTCTTTCTCCATTTAGATTTAATAATGGCCATCTGCTCTATAATTATATGGGAATAATAAGGCTAAATGTCAGAGAACTCCCTTAACTTTGGATGATTTTTAGAAAACCCCTATAAATTTGAAAATATTAGAAAACCCCCCTAAAGTATAGGGATAATTAGAAAACCCCCCTTTTTAACTTTAAGATTTTATTAGGAAACCCCTAAACCTAGTGGGGGTTTTCTGATATTTTCAAACTTAACGGGGTTATCTGACAATCGTCCAAAGTTAAGCGGGGTTTTGTTTGCTAATGAACCCCTAACTATAAACAAATTGCAGATGGAATCATATTTTTCTTTGGTCATAGTAAAATTAAAACATCAATTTTTCTCTTTAAATAAAATTACTGGGTTGATTACGAATAGATCCCTTGTATTTTTTGTTGTTGCAGATAGACCTCTGATTTATATATTTTTGGCTCTTTTACCCTCAAAGAAAGAGTAGATTACTTTTTTAACAAAAAGACCTTCTGAGGGTCAATCAGTGGATCTATTTGCAGCAACAGGGGTCTTTCGCAACTACAGGCGGTCATTTGGTTCTATTTTGCAAACCCAAAATTAAATTACATGCAGTTATTAAGAGATTTTATTCTTGCACAAGGTAGAAGTTAGGTTGATATGCTTCCTATGTATTATTATTCGGAAATGTTGAGAAAAATCCAAACCCCTCGTTCTAGCTCTCTGATTTCTGAAAAAGTATCAAAAAATCCCACAAACATCAAAGGCCCACTAATCAGCGACACCACGATCAACCCTCATGCTTCGTCCTCTTGCTCAGGTCCCTCCATGAGTTGTTACCGAAGAAGTTCCCCGACTTGCTCTGGAGAAACGAAGAAGAATCTAGGGGATGGAATTGATCACCGCTAGGGTTACGCATGTATCCATTTATGTGATTAAACAGGTCGTTAAATGCGTTACACTGGTCATTTAGGATTGACCCGAATTTACCCAATTAATAAATGGGTAGTTTGGGTCGACTCGTATATGATCCGAACCCATATATTTTGACCCATCCCCATTTATAATGGGTCAGGTTGGGTCGGGTTGGCGGGTCGGCTTAAAAGTTGCCACTTCTAGACTCAACATTTTTGCATAGGCTTGGTCATAGTTATTATTCTTTATATAATTATATCTATGCGCCAAATAATCTTCTAGCACTTTCCTCATGAATAAGATAGCACTAATAGCCTCATTTGAGGTTTCATGGCTTTTTTTTCCGCCGGTGGTGAAGATTTGGGTCTAATTGCACGATTGGCTTAGCAAAAATATCAAATTGATAAGAGGGCTGTACAAAAAATACCAATCTGGTAATTTAGCCGAACTTTAGGTTACAGAACTTTGCAAAATCATGTAACAATTTTCCTGCTAGTCTAACACTCGAAATGTTTGTATTACCTTGTTACCATGTTAATATTATAACATGTTAGTGGGATTCTCCATGCAAGTTTATATTCTCTAGGTGTAGATCTGATTCATACTATTGTATCATATTAAACAGTTACTGATTTGCATCATGCTCAAAGTTGTTGCATAAAACTAAGTTACAAAACTTTGCTAAAGTTACAAAACTTTAGCAACACTATTATTTATCTCAAATTGGTTTATAACATTATTGTATATTTTATATGGTGCAAAATGTACAACATCAAATCAGTTTTGTTATCAATAATGGTTTAAATATCTCATCACAATTAAGATTATTAATATAGACATCTGATGCAGTAATGAAGTATTGACCTAGAATCTGGTCTATCTTCTATTATTACGAAATCAAGAGGTGTTATTCCTTACAAGAATATTATAGAGCTTAAACTTGAAATCTGGTATGATTATATAAATACAGTACAAATCTGACTCCATTATTCCTGCTAATGATGTAGTCCAAGAATCAGTCAGGCTTTTGGTCTTGCAACACAAGCCTCTACTGGATTTGCAGCAGCCGACATAGAGCGTTCATCCCTCATTTTGTGTGGTAGAGCTTTCGCTGATGCTAATGCTATCAGAGATGCCTTAGCTGCTTTGGCTGCTCCTTTAATATCTGCAAGGGGAGGCCTTCCACTTGCTGCCAGGTACCAAGTGCTTACGTTTCAGCATTTTGGCTCTATTATGTGGTCGACAATTTACTATATGTTTTTTTCAGGCTCCTTGAGGCTGGTGATTCTATGATTCTTTTGTTTGCTTCGGAAGACACTATTCGGACCTGTTCTGATCTTTGTCAGGCATTGGTGACTCAAGATGTTGGAGTTGTTTTGAGTTCTGATAGTGTGGTTCCCTTTTTCAGAACTAGAGGTCCTGCAAAAAAGCTGCTAAAGAAACCTGCTTCTGTGATCATTGCTTCCGCTGACAGGTGAAATAAATTCAGAAATCTAAGTTCTTTGTCTGAAGATCACTCTCTTAGTGCTTTTTTCATGAAATCAAAGTTTGGGGTTTGAGATGGCTTTAATTTGCGTTCACATCCTCTATTATTGCTTAGTTGCTGGTGAACTTCTGACATTTTACTAACGGGTTTTTCCAAATTGCAGCACCGGTGCAATTCCATTGGTATCGAAGCTGTCTCCAGGACAAGCCGCTTATCACTTTTTGGCGGGCTATCAGGATGGAAAATTCTTGCCTGCTTTCAGCAGAGGTCCTTCGCCTCTTGATCCTCTAGCACTTGCCATTGCCCTATTCTCACATGTACATATTAAAAACTACTTGTGATTCCTTGATAACCCCTCATTAACGATAATATCTTCTTGACTATCATATCTCGCTCGTGATTAATTTCCATCTTTATTTGTTAGCTAAAGAATAATGAGATCTCGTCCTTCTTGATCAATGTTAACAGTGGTGGAAAGCATATAACTGGTAAGATGGAGTGCTGTCCTTCGTATTTAGTTTCCTTTATGCAACCTTGAAGTACCTTGACTGTTATTATACTTTTTCTATTGGAATTATAGGTGAGGAGATTATTAGACTTGCTTCAGTCACTTTATCCGATAAAACACCAGAGGGCAAAACAGGGATTGTTGATTCCAAAGGTAATGAATTTCCGGCTAACCTTTTCTTCCGTCCAAATTACTTATTTCTTGTGATACAACAAATCCTAAATTATCATTGCAGTTAGAGATCTCAAGGGGAAGTACAGGAGTTTTTTATCTAGTAAGTTTCAGGAGTTGCCTGAAGAGTTCACATTTTGACAAGTGCTTCTCATCTCGGCAAGCACAGTCCTATGATGTCTATTTTGTGCTGTAAGCCTTCGAAAACAAAGCTGGTCCCGTATTTATGGATGCTATCTTGTAACGGCATCGCCAGTTACTAGAATTTTCATCCGTATGATTCTCGTGACAGGCATCTATGGCTATCCTCTTGATGGTATCACTAGAGTCTGGTTATTGGCTAAATTGCACTTAAATGCCCTATAATTTCATCAATGCTGTAATTAAGTGACCGCTATTTTCAAACCGAACAAATAAATGCCTCGTAGTATTTAAATGTTACAGATAAATGCCTAAAGCTTCAAATTATCACACTTTGGTGCCCTTTTGTTTACTAAATGTTTCAAATTTTTTAAAAGTTGCACTTTAGTACTTTGTATTATATGACATTCTTGGACACAGAGAAATGTCAACACCATTAGGGATTTTTTAACTTTGGGATAGTGATCTGCAACATTTAAATACTTTGGGGTATTTATTTGGTCAGTTTTAAAATAAAGGTCACTTAAGTGCAAAGTGCAATGTTGGTGGAATTATAGGTCGTTTAAATGCAATTTAACTGTAGTTATTTGATGGGGGTTTTTGCCCCTCTAATATGGCCCCTTCAAAGCATATTAGCGAAAAAGACCCCTAAATTAGATGACTTGCTATAAAGTCCTTGACATTGTCCTCGTACCCATACTGACCGCTGACTCACTTTCTTATAGAGTTGGTTTAATTGCATTTCTAATGTTAATATCGAAGAAGAACAGTTATTATTCATTTAATTGAATTTATAAATGGGTTTTCTAACAGTGCCCATGGGTGCTGGTAAGAGTTTTTTTATTTGTAAGGAAGTAACTATGAAATAGCTGAAATAAAAGAAGTAGAGACATTTCTATTTGTACGGAAGTAGCAATGAAATAGTTAAAATTAAAAAAAATAGAGTTTGCTTTTGCTTATTTTGAGCAAAAATTATGTTTGGGGCAAGGAATTTTGGGTTCTTAGTTGTGTTGTCAAGCTTTGTCTATTTGAACACAATAATGGTGATGAAAATCACTAATTAGAAGGTTGATCAACATGTGAGTGAGGATCATGAGTTATTGCACGATATCCTTCATTGATTTCTTGTTCATTACTCCCGTGGATATTGAAGGTATGATTTCTTTTTTGCTTAACAAGGAACACACTTACACTGCGGGTGACCCTTTTTTTTCTTTCATCACGCCCATTTTCTACTTTTTCTCGTTGTCTTTACTTCGATTATGGTTTCTTCTCTTTATTTTCGTCTTCTTTCTAATCCATAACCACTTACTAGTTCTAAAATGCTTTGTTTCTCATCCCTTTCCCATTCTATTTTTTTTTTTCCGATTTATCATTTAAATTAGCATTTCTATGGACGAACCCCAGCAAACAAAACGAAAAGAACAAAAAAACATCTGCTTAAAGTGACGCCTCATTGTGCCTTATTCATGAATCGTAACTCTTAAAATCTATGCGCCACAAAATATCTGCAAAAAAAAAAATCTTAGTAAGAGCTAACGCCCTGACACGCCAACCCACGTTGGCTAAACAATCTCATGATAACGTGCCAAAATATCTCTTATAAAGTTTCAACTCATTTTACAGCACGAGACGAGTTAAAAAGCGGACAAAGCTAACTTCATACCACGCTCTTCCTTTTGACTTTCACAGCCTAAAACTACAGCTCCCCACCACAACCTTTTGGCTCTGTCAACTTATTTGTTAGATTATAAATTACTACTCATTAGTTCTTTTGAGGGGTTATTTACAAAAAGTGTTTGGTTTCAAGGATCAGCAGATCAAAAGGCCTCCACCAACGCGGTGCTGCCGACGTGGCTTCTTCTTCATCATCGTCTTCCTCCGCGTCCAAAGGAAGCGTCGCATACGATCCCAAACATAGCTACAAAAAAACAAATAAAAAAACAAATAAATACACAAACTGAATTCCTCCTCTCACATAAGATCAAGATCTTCTAGTTCTATTTGATCCTGACAAGAAATAGGCTTCAAACTGGGAAAACTTGCTTATCAAAGGTTGCGAATCAAATGGTTATTTCATTGAAGACCCTAATAACTTCAAAAAGCTTTGGAACACTATTTCTCTGCTTTATCTTGGTATCTATGGCAACCTCAATTTCAACGATATTCAGTTTAAGTCAGAAAAGATAGCTTCTCATGTAGCCACTTTCGTGCTATCCTCAACAGGGAACTCAAGCAATAAGGGGGCATCGCGTGATTCAGAAGATTGCTAGAGAAAAGGGCTGGGGTCTTTGCTGCAGATAGAGGATGAAGATGGCGTGGGTGTAAATTTCTGAAAACTTCTACAATGGAGTTTTTGTTGTTCTTCTTTCCCTTTGGACTGTGAAAAATCCTGTAATATGTTTGTATGGTTTGGCTGAACCTGGGTATTAATTATTTGATCATTATTCCCTCTTAATCTATCTAATTTGATCATTACTCCCTCTTAATCCTAATCTATCCTAAATCAAATGTGTTTTCATAATGAATGGTTTTGAAGAGGGCACCTCCCCTATGCTTATTTCAAAAAAAGAAAAAGAAAAAACTAGGTTAGTTGATTAAGTTTGAAATAGTTAGCAGTGGAATCTGCCGGCTTCTTCTATGACACCTATCTGCATTCCAACTGCCACTGTCACAAGATCAATCAAATTTAAGCTATGACGATAGGCTCGATAAATTATTTTTAAAGATGATGGATGAGATAATGACTGCAATAAACTACAAATAATGTCTGAGGTTAATTTGATTATTTGCCGGCAGTTCCCACCAAATCTTGAACCAATTATTTAGTTTAAGTTCAGAGTTGACAAGAGATGTCCAGCTTATATATACTAGGGGGAACTCGCAGATTCTCAAGAGTGATAGACATCTCTCAATGTGAAGGATATAAAGATTATCACAGGCTATAATAAGGTAAGAGGCTAGTTTTTATATCCTTCCTGAAACTTTAAGAAAAAAGATTTCATATCGTGTTATCTAATAGTCTAATTGTTACTACTCATTGATCAAGTGTGGTGTAAGCACTGTCGTTCTGTTTTTATTGTCCTATCCTTTATAGGTAGCTGAGCTGCGCACATTTGTTTTGCTCGAATATCTGAAAATTTCATGATTCAAATATCTACTTCTTGAATTGGTTTAAAAATAGAAGGATATCATAAGGTCTGTTATTACATTGGATTTGTTACTAACAAAAACTTATGCTCCTGCTGAGCACTGTTTATGGGGACTTGGTTAAGATTTCTAATGAGTTAAGGTATACACTTCTGTTAGCCTTTGCTTCGCGATCAATTACTAATACTAGAGTTATGACTTATTGTTATAATAGTTGTTGTCACTGAAAATTAATTTTTGTCGAGTAATAGCTATAAATCATGAATTTTTATTAAGAAGTGTTGAACACATATGGTGCTTAGACTTTTCCTTGATCTTTTGGAATGGATTTATCACCCAACATCTTGTTGTTTTGTAGGCTAACTTTAAAGCTCTGCATCTGTGTGCGATGTGGTACACACACATGTATAACTTATACCATGGGTGTGTATTTGATATTTATTCTTGATTAAGCAACGCAAGATGTTACATATAATCAGGTGTAGGTATATTTATGTGCATACTATTATTGATTGTTTTATTAATTGAACACGTCAACAGAACGGAACAAGCAAATAATAAATCAAGCAATATGAAGGAAGATTTACCAGGTTATGAAAAAGATATCCAGGTCAAAGATGCATCGTTGATTGCTGAGAACAAGAAACAAAACCTGAAATCGGTACAGAAAAGAGTAACACCTATTCAAAGAAAAATTGTAAGAGGAAGTGCACTGTTCCTCAACCTTTCTCATTATCCACTGAGAAAAGAATCTCAAAGATGATTAGTAGTCTACAGAGGTCCACTCAAGCTAATCAGATCTCTTAGCTTCAAGTAAATCCCTTTGATAACTCTCTTTTTGCATTGCACTAGAATTAGTTTACTAAATTTAACAATCTACGTGAGCATGTCAGTAGTTAGTAATCACATGACTAAAAGATAATGATTACATTAATTCAGCATTCTTTAATTGGTGATGTATGAGCAGGTCAAATTCTACTGCTGCTTCATGGACGGTGCATACTTCACTTAGATTAGAGAGAATAGAGGAACAGGCAAGGGACCACAAAATCAGGCACCATTAATCAAAAGTACTTCATACTCAAATTTCATTAAAGGTCAAAATGAGTATTGAGTGGAAGACAAGAAGCTCTAAATCTATCAGTTGACAGTAGATATTGTCATGTATATACTTTTCAGTTGACAGTTATCATGTTCATAGTCAATATAGATTTTTTTTTACCTTAGACTTCTTTTACAGGGTTCAAGCCAAAAGAAGGGCAATGGTCAAGTAAACAAATTGACAGCAAAAATCACAACTGTTTCGAACCCTAAGGTTTTTTTTCTGCATCTTTTTGTATGCCATCTAATATTAGTAATGCCAGTATGTGGTTAATATTTAAAGTGTGATTTCATTAGGGAAAAAATAGTTCTAAGTGTTACTTATGTAATCCTAATTAATAGCTTACGATAAAAAATATAAACACAGGGCATGGATATTGGTAACCTGAAAAGAGTTTGCCATTTAAAGCAACACCATACCAAGTTTTTATCACAAGAGATTGGTTACTCCAAAATTGGATTCAATAGAGGTAACTATTGAATTTTTTTTCCCTTTTAAAAATCTGTCGTGTACGAACACTCTGAATTCATTACAAAATTTATGTCTACCTGATGAAAAGCGAGTTGAACAAGACATGGAAATTACGAAGACTAGAAAGGATTCATCATTTAAAGCAGCACCCTACCCGGATTTTATCATAAACATCCAGATCTCTGAAGGCAAATTCATTAGAGGTAAGTGGGAAATGACTTGAGACACTGTCTCTTGAAAGAAATCTTACAAATTCTAAAATGCAGAAATAGAGGAAAAGCAGGCAATATTGCTCAAACAAGTTCGACATTTAAAGGCAACACCAATTGCAAGGTTCTACCACAACGACATCTTCCACAAAACATGAACTGAAAAAGGTTTGCAATAACATCATGGTTTCATTAATTTTATCATTTAAGTACATACTTACTTTTCTTCATAAATCTTGCAGATTTCTTTATCGCGATCGAATCTCCAAGTGCAGATTCACAAGCCAAGCCTGTGGAATCAGCAAATAATGCTGCTTCGAGTCATAATGATAGGTGTCAAGGAGACAATTAAGAGTTCGCTAAAAGGACAGTGGAAAGCACCAGATCAAAAATCCAAAAATTTCAAAAAA